TGGCAAACCTAGACAGCATATTAAAAAACAGAGACATTACTTTGCCAACAAAGGTCTGTCTAGTCAAAGCTATGGTTTTTCCAGTAGCCAAGTATGGATGTGAGAGTTGGACCATAAAGAAGGCTGATCCCTGAAGAATTGATTCTTTTGAACTGTGCTGTTGGAGAAGCCTCTTGAGACTCCCTTGGACTTCAAGGAGATCCAACCAGTGAATCCTGAAGGAAGTCAGTGCTGAATATTCATTGGAAGGACTGATGCTGAAGCTGAAGCTCCAATATTTTGGCTACCTGGTGTGAACAGCTGACTCATTGGATAAGACCCTGATGCTGGGCAAGACTGAAGGCAGGAGGAGAAGGGGACTACAGAGGATGAGATAGTGGGATGTCATCACCAACTCGACGGACATGAGTTTAAGCAAGCTCTGGGAGTCGGTGATGGACAGGGAAGCCTGGCGTGCTGCAGTCCTTGGGGTCGCAGAGTCGGGTACGACTGAGCAACTGAACTGAACCGAACTGAACTTGCGGTTCTAGAGATTTGCTGCAATTCATTTACAAACTCTAGGAGAAGTACTCCCTTCCCACACCCGGCATACCCCGCATAACGCCCACCCACACTGCGGCACTGGACACTTTGGGTATGCGAGGCTATTCCTCCAGGAGCCGCTAAGGGGAGCCGGACGCTGGACCGCCCTCGCTGTTGCCATGACAACAGTGGGCGCGCTGTCTAGGGAGCTAAGTGCCGGCAAAAGCAGGTGTCTGATTGCAGTGCGCTCGCGGTCGTTCCGGGATTGCATTGAGCCTCGGAGGCTCTCACAGAGTCTGCATACTGTTACTCCACCTTTCCCTCGGACAGCTTCCTAAAGCGGCGGGGACGCACTGAGTGAAAATGGTCCATCATTCAGGCTCGATTCAGTCCTTTAAACAGCAGAAAGGTCAGTCGGAATCTTGGTCCCCCCCCACCCCCTCTGTGGGCGTCACGTCCCGTCTGCATGCCCTTGCAGTTGTGTAGGAGCATCCTTTCCAGACTAATGCGTCGCAGAGGTGGAGAACTCTGTGAAGTTTTTAAAAAATGTTCTTCTTCTTTTTTTTAATGCCACTTCACTTTGCATCCGAAATGAGTCTGATCTCTGAGCCTCCGCACGGTCCCTGGGAAAAGCGGAATTCGTAATTTCAGAGACTGTAATGTCTATCTCTTCTAAGATTCTGTCAATGCGTTGCAGTAAACCAGCTTAGTAGGAGTTGTTCTACCAGCCCAATTGCGCTCTGAGATTTGAAAACTGAGATATTGGCCCAGGTTTGCCTCAGCCTGTGATTCAGATGGTTAATAAGCTCCACATAAGTGGATCTCCTATTTAAGACGATTTTACACAATCCTAGGATTTTTGGACAGTTCCAGAAGTTGGCCTGTTGAAGGGGCTCTGAAACTTTCTCAGAAAATTCAATTTTTCCCTTGTTATGCTTGATTCTGGGTTTCAGGATTTTATTATTGTTAGTAGGTTCCTCTGATAGGTTCTCTGTCTTATCTCTCTCTGCCTTTCCTTCAAATTTCTTCCTAGTTACAGAGGTGAGTCTATATATGTTCATAGTCAAATCAAGATTTTCTTTCAAGCTATTCTCACCCTTTGGTCCTTGTTCATTATTTTATTTAAAAGCTTTTTAATAGATCATATATTTTAGATATGTTTCCAGGTTTCTGGAGTTTGTCCTAAAATTTTTAAATAGCATAATTGCCATTTTTTAAAATTAATGATGATAGTTGATCATATGGTACCTAAGATATGTAAATTCTGGAATAGTAGATTTGTTTATGCAAAGTGAAGTAAATAAGGAGTTCCCTGGTGGCCTAGTGGTGAGGATCCTGGGCTTTCACTGCCATGGCCAAGGTTCAGTCCCTGGTCTGGAAACTGAGGTCTCACAAGCTATGCATCATGGTCAAAAAAAAAAAAAAAAANACATTTAATTAAATATTCCTACTGCCCCATGCCTAGATGTTATTCATGTTTGTTTTTGTGTTTTTGGCCAACAGTTGTTTCTTTGGAGATATTTGCCTTTTTCTAAGCAAAAACTTTTGAATCCACCAGGGATAATTTAGGAGGCAATCCCTGTATTAGGCAAATTATGGACTGAGTGAGCTTTGAATGGCATAGTTTTATACTCTCTTCAAGTCCAAGTTCTCTAGGTTATTTTGCAAATATGTTGAAGTTGGAAGTGAGATGAGAGATTGGGTAGACAAAAAATTCAACTTGTATGCAATTCCACTTCAAATCTAAATGTTCCAAAGAAAATTTAGTTGTTCCAAAACTTGCATTCACTTTAATCAGTGTTTTAAACACATATAAACATTCAGAATGAAGAAAGTATAGGAACTTTGCACCAGATTCATATGGTTAATATTCCTCCCATGAAGCATGGGTGCTATGGGTAACTTATTTCTGGGACCTGGACTATTGAATTAGGCCTCACACAACTTATGTATGAATACATATTGTGTTTTTAAAAGCAAATAATTGCCAACTCTAGGACCAACTGTCATTGTTTCCATTATGATGCATTATGAACATTGGTTCCATTATGATGCATTATGAGCCATCTATTTTCAAGCTTCCTTTACTTTTTGGCACAAAAAGCAACTTTAGCAGAAGGATAAATGCAGAGAGCAGGAGGGATAGGAAAGAAGTATTAAAATGGTTTTAGTTCATTGTTAACCCTGAGTGGACTTTTCAAAAAGACATACCAAACATAGGCTTAACTATTTTAATTTTACAAAGAGGGAGGAGTAAAACAATATTCTAGATGCTTTCTTACCCAGGAAGTGTGAGACAGAAAGCTTTTAGGGATGCTTTTCATTGTAACATTAACCTGAAAACTGGACATTAAAGAGGAGAAAATTGTGTACTGTAACTCTAGTGTCCTAAATCCTAAGCCTGCCATTATAATTAGCTTAAAAACCTTGAGTGAAGTTTTTAACTTCTTTGAACTTTTCTTCATATATAAGTGTGAAAAAGGTGAGCACCTGAACACAATGGTCTTCCTCTGGTCTATGGGAAGGGCAGGTGCAATGAAAAGAGATAATTTTTTTCCCCCCCTGGGCCAGATAAAGTGGAAAGCTCTGCTTTTAGTTTACTTTTGGGAAATAATTTGGGTTAGTAAAGCAATTTATGAGGATTATTTTTATCTTAAGTGATATCAATGTCTTTTGTGGTTTTGATTTCAACTTTGTAGTACCTAGAAATAGCCTGAGATATTCAGATATAATTAGCTTAAAAACCTTGAGTGAAGTTTTTAACTTATTTGGACTTTTCTTCATATATAAATGTGAAAAAGGTGAGCACCTGAACACAATGGTCTTCCTCTGGTCTATGGAAAGGGCAGGTGCAATGAAAAGAGATAATTTTTTTTCCCCCTGGGCCAGATAAAGTGGAAAGCTCTGCTTTTAGTTTACTTTTGGGAAATAATTTGGATTAGTAAAGCAATTTATGAGGATTATTTTTATCTTAAGTGATATCAATGTCTTTTGTGGTTTTGATTTCAACTTTGTAGTACTTAGAAATAGCCTGAGATATTCAGAAAAACTATTATAAAACTTTAAAAATGTTCACTAACTTGATAAACAAGCATGCAGTAATGAAACTCTCAGCAAGCTTCAAGACGTTCCGATATATGTGAGAAATATGTAGTAATCAATCATTGATTCAAACATTGATATCACTCAGTGTTTTCAATAAATCAATATGGATGTTAAAATAGTTATCCTTAGATTAATCTATCTTCTTCATTTTTAGCCTTGCATTTTTATCTTATGTATTCTACTAACAAATTACATTTGTTAATATCTCTCTAAACCTCAATCACCACCACTGTGAAATAAAGATAATAATATATATGTTGCAAAGTACCTTAGTTTGTCTGGCACATGACTGGGGTTCAAAATGTAGTAATCAATAACAAAAACAGTAGCAATAATAGTTTTTCTTCCCAGTCTCATTCATTTTTTTTGACTTCTTAGGAGTTAAAAAAAACACAGACCTTCAGTGATTTCCTTATAATTCATTGCCCTTTATTTTCCTTAGTCTCACTCATTGTTATTACTTTAGGGTTTCTTAGGGAAAACTGGATTCCAGACCATCTAAGGATTCCTCCCAGTAGTCTTGAGTTACAGTCCCGAACTATTCAACTCATACGACCATGCCTTAGGAAAAGTTCACCTAAATTCCCATAAAAGTAAATTTAGAAGTTAAATTCTTTTCATAATTTTAAAATTCCTTTGCAAATAAATTGCATTTATTCACTACTGACTTACCTCATATTTAGCAGGTTCTTGCTGTGTGCCAGGGACTATGCTTAATGGTAGCAATATTAAGGACACTTTCATTTCCAAGACTGTTGCTGCAGAAACCTCCTTCAGAGAACTTTGTACAGTAGGAAGTCTGAGAGGCTTGCTGAACACCACCTTTATGTAAATTATAGAGAGCTTTGTATTTTTCTAGGAAGATACTGACATTCTGTTTCTTGGCCATGTCAGTTAAGTTTTGTTTTCTGAAGAAAAGACCCACATATGTTGCTGATTTTTATTTAAATTTTATTAATAGATTGTTTCATTAAGAGGCATAAGAAGGAAGCAAAAAAAGTGAGAATCCTCAGCTAGAGTGAGGGGAGTGTTGGGATGGGATTTTTGCAACTTTATTCCTGAAGTCCCAAAGGTAAATGAGTATATGCTTACAGACAACTGGGAGTGTGTGTTTGCCTTTGACTTAGCACATGTTGGAGGAACTTACTAGTTGGCAAATCATCACTGATTTCTGATGCAGATCCAACTGCTCCTCAGCCTGTTTGCTTTGTTTCACTTGATTTAAAATGGACTTGTGTGTCACCCAAGAGTGGGCGGGAAAAAGACAATGATAGTTCTGGCTTCTGGTGGCTGTTATTTACCAATGCAGCCAGTAAGACTTTCAGAGAAGCCATAGGTCACAGCAAACACAGCCTGTCCCAAAAAGCTTGGATTTAACGGGAACATCAGAAGTGGTTAAGTGATTCATCATTATCGTAAAGGACATTTGGTTAAACATGAGGAGTGTTTATAATATTTCCACAGAATCAAAAACTGCCTACCCAAATCAGTTATGTGGTAATAGTACTCTTTACACTTATATGGGATTTGGTAGGCCACAGGCACTTTCATTCTCTTTTTCTTAAAATAAATTATTCACTACTGTGGGGACCCACTTGTCGAGTGTCTTAGCAACAAGCTTGCTTTGTGTCTAGTTCCTGCTTCACAAGACCTAGAAGGAAGGGTGTTGGGGAGAATATCTGGTTTCAGAATTTCTGGCATCCACTGTTTAAGCCTCCTTTTCCCTTCACTGATATTTTTAGGATCTAGAATCTTCCTATACTCTTACCCTGGTGAATCCAGAAAAAAAATCTAAAGCCATTTATGCAATGACAGAAATGCATTCACACATTCGTAGTAACTCTCCCTGGTGTTTTGACAGTCTGTTCCTTTATTTATGACTGAAGAAGGGAAGGCATTGTCTCTTGTTAAAATACTTGCCAGCTATATAGGGAAAACATTGGGGAAGATATTTTAATGTCAGAAAATTATTCTGACTGGTCCTTAGGCACAGACTGGTACTCAGGCTGGTACTGAGTATCACCCTGGATCATCAGAAAGGATTGAGTGTCTAATCTAATCGAGAGCCCCTCAGGTGTTCTGCTCTCTTCATTTTTACCCTTCCCTTTCTTTCCCTTTCCACAGGCAATTTCTTAGATATTTATGACTTGAGTTATAGATAATCCCCTAGTAACCATGAATCAAACTGTGAATAGAATAAAGAGATACTTCAGTCCATAAAGCAAACATATGTTTCTAGGATCATCTCTTTAAAAATCCTGTGTACCACAAATGGCTTAGAGGAATTGCCATGTTACTTCAAAG